ACGGATATTATAAATTTACAGTTATAAATGAATATACAATGTAACCTGATATAAACATAAAATATCTGCAAGTTTATTAAGGGGTTACTTACGAACCTCAAACATCTAAAACATGAAACAAAACGAGCATCTTTGGAAAACAAAACATATAAATAAAAGCGAAGTTTATTGTATGATTCCGACTGTATCATGAGCATGTGTTTATGAATCACTATCAAATAGTGATGATAACGGGTGTAAGGAAACGTATGGAGACATTAAGCCGTGCAACAAAACGACTGTGTGTGTGGTGAGCATCGGCAGTCGTGTCAGTAGTTCTGTGTGCAGAACAGGCGTTCCGAACTGTAAAGATGGTTTGCGTGGAATGTGTGTCTGAGCCCTTAAACAAACTAAACATGACATTTTATTTATAGTTTAATCTTCATGGACTATAACTGACGGTGTTGAATATTACAGTTTTGTGTTTATGATATTAATAGGTAACTGACAATGTTGAATGAGGAAACAGTGACGTCTCTTTAGATTCAGTGAATATATCTGTCACTGTTAATGCGACATTTTGTGTCTTTAAGACTTGTGTCTTCATAACGAAAGTAACGATGCAAAATGAAGAAACATTGTATGTGTTTGAGCTTCAACTATTAAAACTGACTCAGTTAATTATGGTGAGGTGAGGTGAAATTGGGTTTAACGTCGCGTCCAAGATTATTGCACTTATATAGCGACGTGCATGCACGTGTGTGTGTGGCTGCTTGTACTAGTCCGGACTGATGCCGATTTATAGTGCTAGCTCACTGAGATACCATGCCGCAATTTAACATGAATACCCCACTCAGACACAGTATACTGACTCCGAGCCGACCAGTCCTTGTTTTAGCCCCTTAATGCCGAGCGCCAGACAGGCTAACAACAAGTACCATATTTTGGTATGACGCGGCCGGGGATCGAACCCCGGACCTTCCGCTCTCCGGGCGGACGCTCTACCACGAGACCAAGGAGACGGTCAGTTGATTATGGCATATGTGTGCTTATGTGTTCAACAGAAATAAACTGACAATGTTGAATGAGGACATATGTGTGTTTATGTGTTCAACAGAAATAAACTGACAATGTTGAATGAGGACATGTGTGTGTTAATGTGTTAAACAGACATAAACTGACAATGTTGAATGAGGACATATGTGTGTTTATGTGTTCAACAGAAATAAACTGACAGTGTTGAATGAGGACACATGTGTGTTTATGTGTTCAACAGAAATTAACTGACAATGTTGAATGAGGACACATGTGTGTTAATGTGTTCAACAGAAATTAACTGACAATGTTGAATGAGGACACATGTGTGTTTATGTGTTCAACAGAAATTAACTGACAATGTTGAATGAGGACATATGTGTGTTAATGTGTTCAACAGAAATTAACTGACAATGGTGAAAGAGGAAACTGTGGTGTGTTCGTTTTCACAGACTACAAAAGACACCGTTGAATTTGAAATGTCTGTGATTTTAGTTTAACAATAACAGCAGTTCTTAAAATGGATGTATTCGTGATATAACTAGTAATATTGAATATTATCCGTGTGAATATAAAATATGTCAATGTTAATCTATCATTCCAAAATAACACGTAGACTTCCAACTTATCAAATCAATGTGCCCTCATTTCGGTAGCGCAAAAGAATGGTTTTCTGCGCAAATGATTCGTCGATCATTCTGTGGTTACCTCCCTTGGATCTCTCAATCTAATTTTCCGCTGTTCCTGTTCCTTGAAGGACCGACGGAAATGCCCATCGTGCATATTAACTCATTGTTGGCATTATATTACAACAACAATAAAGTCCAACAACCCGACACTGATCAATACCATGCAAAAAATACAAAACATAATATGACATTTGATCAATAGTTTTTTATTCAAAATTGAAAATATATGTTGATTAGATCATGTCGTGAGAGCTATAAATTCGTTAAAATCATGTAATTATGGTATGATAAAAACATAATTATATTGTGAATTAGAACATGGATAACCCTTCTTAAACACCTGCTACTGGGGAATGTTTGGTTTTTTAAAGAATAAATTGCTATGAATTTTCCAATTATTTTGGTTCTGTTCGTTTTCTTGTAGGATTGATGTGAGCATAATATCTCCAAGGCATGGGAATTTTTTAGGGATATATTAGATCGCTACATTCTTAAATATAAATTCGACTGGCAGTCCTGTCATCATGTTGACATATGCACAAAAGTGTACATAAATATAACATAATTTCCGTATAGCAATTTGCCCTGAAGTACAAAAGACATGTCAAATCTTGGCCAATACGAAAATAATTGTCTTTTGGCAATTCGGAATAAAATACCCATTTCATTATATTTGTTTTACATGATCTAATATGCATGTGTATAGTGTTTAGCTTAAAATATATATTTACTGTTATATTCGCTTCATACATGTAGTGCATGAAGATTGATTGAATGGTGGGTTATCATACCTGATATTTTTATTGCGACAGCTGTTTTCATTGTGAACTAAACAAACCTAAACAAAACATTATGTTCACAAGTCAACTAGCAGAATTTGCCTTGCTATATTTATTATGTCCGCTTGATGAAGAAATAATCTGAGCTTCTTTTATCATTAATTTCTTGGTTTTGTTCCATTTCTACTATAAAGAGCTTATAAATTTGTAAGTCAAATTTTAAACATACGTTTGAACATTAATATTATTGTATTTTTAAATGCATACTGAGCCTATACATAAGAACAATGCTATTTTATCAATAAGAATTTATTTGAAGTGTAATACTTTTGTTTCACCTAATCCTTTTCACTTATTGTCATCAGACCCCTACCGGACAGTGAACAAAATTGACATGTACTAGCATACGCGATTACTTAAAAGTTAATGGTAATACTTATTTCAAATGGAAATAATGCTTTTATTGTTTTTACGCTGAAAATCAATCTTGCATAAATGCTTCAAGGCTTAGGAAAGACAAGTTGAAGATACACATAACATTGCATAGTTTAATTTCCTCGTGAATTGGTATAATTACATTCAATCTTCCGACTTCAATCAGTAAACAGTGACAAGCGGAAAACATGGGAAGTCTTATTTTGCCTGATTAGTGCCTTGCGTCACTGATTCGCTGAACAGAACACTCCATCTCATTACCACGTAATTTGTACGACTGCATACGTGTATCGTGATATTGATTTATACAATGTTTACATTCCCTCCACCTCTTCTTTCACATTTTGTGCCACCACACAAGATAAATATTTATTTAATAAGTTTTGGAGTGGAACACACACCCTCTGTTTTGTCTCAAATAAACCAACTGACCATGGCGTCAATGAATGACAGTATCGTAAAGTGACATTTATAAGCAGTAGTATCAATGTAGACAGTGGGCGCATGGGTTTCAGCTTCTTTATTCTTGTAATACAACTTTTTGGTACAGATGTTGGCACCTTTATGAAGCAAGTGATCAACAACTGGCCAGGACATATTATTACTTCATCCCATCTTCTCGTCAACAAGAATACCCGTGAAGATCCGGGTTAGAATAAGTCTTTAAAAACCCATTCTTGTCATAAGAGGCGACATAGCTTGTCGTAAATGGCGACTAACGGGATCGGGTGGTCAGGCTCGCAGACTTGATTGATGTATGTCATCGTATCCCAATAATGTTCATCACCGGACGGGGTTTTCATGGGTTGGCTCAAAAGAACAAACAACAAACATTAACTAGAATCATACTCTGTAACTACACACTAATCAACCACTTCATCCGAACGCTTCATCCTTGTCATCAACTTTGTCAGGCTTCATCCTTATCATAACTTTGTTTGTTTGTTAGTTTGTTAATTTCTCTGTATATTAATATAAGCTGTATTTCTATGCCCAACCCCGTTGTTGACCACATGCTTGATAAAGTTACCAGAATCTGCGCGGAAATAACAAAAAAGTTAAAATCTATAAGTCGACTCCGTCTTCGTCAATGAATCACATTTAAGGTCTATTTCTGCCTGCCCTTACTCCGAATGCAACGTCTGTAGTGAAGTAATTACTCAAACGTCGCTTACTTTCTGTGCAAATTGACAGAAATCCGAGTTGATGTATCTACTTTGTGATGATGGGCGGTGAACATCAAAAGCCAACACACCTGAAATCACCTGCCGATTGATCAACGTGATTTGCTGGTCGATGTTTGCTACTTATTGCCATGACGTCACACCACAATGACCATATCACGTGACAACGCGGGTTACCGCAATCGTTTATTTACTATGAAACTTAAGTTAATTACCACAAAATGGCATCGATGTTTCCACCAACTTGTAACAATACCACTTTACCCGTGTGTTCCCGTGTTATCATAACTCTTTCCTTTTGTCAATATTGACTGTTTCGCCATTTTGTCTGCACACAATGAAGGCACAACACGCAATTTACCGAGGTTAGAATAGGTGTACTACAGCATCAAATCTCAAATTTGTTCAATGCTGTGCTCAGAAACGTTGCTTGTCAGACCCAAAAGAGCATGAAGGCCTATTTGAAGCTTCTTTTATTCCCCCTCGGGTCGCATTCTCCCCCTCACACACACGCCGCTTATCAAACCATATCTCACAGCATACTCGGAAACCTTTTTCTTTGCAATGGCAACTCTCAGGAATCTGAGGAAATGGCGAATAGAATGAATCTACAGTTAAATTTGCCTGTCTCGGAACAAAGTTGTCGAAATGGTGTTGGAAGCCCTTCTAGATTTGGAAAGTTGTAAACAGCGTCGCACGTGCGTGCCCCCGGTCGCCAGGCAACGCGTGGACGGAAGAACGAAATGACAATAGCGCGCGCGAGCTCCTTTGCCCAATGATGATCGCGCTGCGTATAATTGACGCGATGATTGGCCGGTGTGATTGGTTTTTGATTAAACATGACTTTAGTATAAATATCGACAGTCATAAATCAATGGAGAGCTTCCTCGCCCTATAGCAACGCGTTACGGAACTGATTTAAAATCCCGGCTTCAAAGTTTCCTCCCAATTTCCAACAAGATTTTCTTGTAACCGGTTCTAAGGAGCGCAGACAGTTCCGTTGGGAAATTGCACTTCGCACTTTTCGGAAGCGGGGTTGGAGAGAGAATAATTAGATACATAAGAACAATCACGAAGCCTACTACAACCGAGCCGGGTGTAGTGCTAGTGTGATTGTGGGTTGGTCTGGCTCAGGGCTTCAGACCATGCAAGGATTGAAGCAACAGGAGTACTACCGGGCTTGCACCTTCTCCAGTCTGCCGGCCATGATGTTTCCTGGTATGTTCCGTAATTCACCTCCGGTTCCTTCTAACACCGGGGTTGCCTAGGCTACAAATGTCTGTTTTTTGTGATTCAAGATTTTGTCCTGCTTCAATGAGCGTATACCGTGACTTTGAAAATTGTTGTACTTGCGGCCGCCCACCGGATGAAAACATGTATATTAGCTTTGAATATGTGGAGAGCGGGAAGAAGCGACTGCAGCACTACCAGTAATTTCCTCTTGAAGGATCCTTATAATTTCCTCATCTTTATTGCCTCTTCCTCCATTTTCATCGGTATTTATTTGTTTAAACATCGCCATTCTTGACGTGATGGCACGTATGTCCTCTACCCGAGGCGGGAGGAGCGATAGAAAACAATTCAAATGAATATTAGATTAGTGATTTGACTGGCACAAGTTTGAATGTCAAATAGAGATTTTCTAGCGTTATGCTTCTTGTTTTCAGATCCATCATACGGGAAGACAGCTTGGACTCCTCAACCAAGTCCACAGAACCAGACGCCATGTAAGTACACTATTATCAATACATAATGAATGTTATATTGAATTTATATGATAATGTGTTATGGTTGCCACAAGCAAATGATTGACTGTTTTCCATATTTACCTTGTCACCAGTGGTTAGTTCCTGTGTAAACAGATGTGTGTGTGTGTTTATACTACGACTGTGATGCATAACAGATATGGAGAAATGTTTTATTTGTAGAACTGTGATATAACAAACAGAAAGATATTTAGATAGTTCTTCAGCTGGAACATAACACGTTGCTTTCTCTATCACTTCCTACGGGTGTCAATGTTAAATGCACAACGCATCAGAATTAACAACTATAGAAGCAACATATCCAAATAATATTATTATAAAATAGTTCTCTTTTTGTATGATTTATTTTCGTATTGTTCGTTAAATAGTCTTGACATTATTAATATTGCTGAAGAATTTTTTTTAGGTTTCGAACTTGTTCCATAAAAAAAACATATCTATAAAACAAACAACGGTGTATTTACTTTGATATTAGTATACAATACCTTCTCGACACACGGACACAATTTTGTTCTGAGTTATGATTTACTTTTGCTTTAAATAATTTTGGATAGAAACGGGAAAAACGTATATCTCATGTTAATTTGTATTTCGTGTTGTTTGGGTTTATACTGGGAACAGGCATATTTAAACCACACTTGAACATGAATGTAATTGCACATTAAATGTATTTTCATTATATTGATGAAATTGTGATTTACTGTTGCAATCACGGGTTCCATTGTCATCCTCATCGCCAAAATCAATTTTGCCAAATATTTTCAAACAATATTTGGCTACATATTTTTTCTTCTTTATTTACAAAGCCATCCAGTTAGCATGAAAACGTTGAAACGTTTTTCGTTATTTTTTCATGATGTGCATTGAAATAAAGGTTTTCAGGCGACTTCTATAAAGATGACATATTGTGTACGTGGACAACAGTAGGTGTAAAGTTTCTAGTGGCTATTCTATTGTGTCGCTAAAGACCGGGTGTTTACTGAAGTTGTCCACGGCTATTGAGCATGTTGATAATGCTCGTCGCTATCTATTGTCGTCTTCTTTCTCACGTGTATAAAGCAGCCTCTCTAAAATTGGTTTAATGCATTTCCGTGTGGTTAGAGCTTCAGACATAGTCAATACCGCACTCCAAACACATTTCAGTTCTTTTAATCTCGTCTGTGTAGGGCTTCTGTGTTATCGATACAGAAAAATACCACCTTTTCCACAGCAAATTTAGTGTGCGACTACAGGCTGGTTGAAACTGCCATGTAGGGCTTTGCCCTCGGGTATACATTAAAATTAAATTTTCTGTGAGCAGATCGTTTGGCAAGTATTTGGCATGATCCTGACCCCCGGGCAGAGAAGTCTGACCCTGAAATGCACGTGCTGAATGGTTATTCCAATTCTTTATTGTAGGTTATCCTCACAACTCCCTGTCTTCGATTGCAAAGTCGCCATTAGACTCCAATCACTCGCCTTGGAGACCACAAGGTAAGAACTTCATTTTTTTAATTCTATTTAAATGATATTTAAATATTGCGTTGACTCGGGTACCTTATCGGTATACGGTCACATGTACAAACGATTACTCAGACTAAATATTATTATGTGTATTATAAATAAACATTGCCCTTGACTAAGATTTAAGAAGTTTATTGATTACGTCAAAATATAAAATATTTGGGATGGGCAACATTAATTGGATAGAACGAGAGTGTATTAATATGCTTGTAAGGTTGTGGTTCGTTGTTCTTATGTAGAAACTATTTAGACTATTTTGTAATTTTCACGATTACAACCAAAAGAGTTTATAAGCAAATATTTCTGGTATTGCTCAAGAATATACTAGTGCTTGTCGCTTATTTTATTGGGAAATATATTTCCTTAAGATGTGTCCGCAAGGTAATTTTATATTCATAGAAAATAGATTCATTGAAATGAACCCTTCGTTTTTCTTATATTCTTGTAACAAACAGAGTTGCATCTTACAACTTGATTTTGTGTAACATTTACTTCTGGTACTCTATCATATCATCGACATACTATTTTTGAATAGTTCAATTGTATCAGCAACAGTGTATTAATATTGTCCACATTTAATTTACATTGATCCCACAATCATATTGCACTATGTACTTTTCTATTTAAAAATTGTATCGTTGGATTGTTGTATTGCCAGTTTCGTCACCAAATCAACAATGGGATATGCATTTAATTAAATAGTAATGTACTGTTCGCATGACGAAAAGAATATTCAGCCTCTTAGTTCAACAATTTTCATCAACAATTGACAAATCATGAAAAGCCATTTGACACTGCGATAATTTGTAAGACAAAATAAAAGCTCTATGCCCTGTGTTTGACTCCTAACCCGTGATATCCGAGCCCAGTATTTGTTGTGACAAGTCCGAAGACCTAGTGATTTCGGCCTCTAACTACCGGGTAGTTTGCTATGGCGTTTACCGTTAATTATTCCCAGGTGAGACGGAGGTATTGAATGTCAGTCCAAGCATCCGTGCAGGGCACTTCAGTGCTGCGACACGCGCCTTCATGCATACAATGGCCCGGTACAATTACATGAGAATAGAGCCTTGCTTCGGTTGATCGTTGCATAGAACATAGCCGAGACTTGATTGTATTCTCAGTGAGAACGCGATGTCGTGATCATGTATCAAAATAAATATCGCATTACAATCCATGCAAGCACTTTACTGTCATCCATGACAAACGATGGATTTTGAGGCAAAAGTAACGTATTAAGATGCCACAATAATGAAAAACGGGATGGACGAAATGAAATATTATTCACTCATTCCATTGTTCATCAGGAAGGGAATTTATATCATTTTATAATGTGACAAGTAAATATTGATATGTGACGTTCAAATGGTTTCCCAGTATTATCATCTGTGTTTACATCTCATGCTTATAACATTACACGAATACAACAATTGTAACAGGTGACAATAGCTCCGTATATTTTCATCGACTGTTGTTATAAACGAAAATGTCGTGAATACTGAACATAAAAATTATTTTTGTGACATAAACGTATTTCAAGTAAATACTTAGGCCTTACCTGTCATTCTCTTAGTATATTTCTTTTTACAAGAAAGGAATATTTATAGAAACCTCTATTTGAAAAATAAGACTTATATGGTATGCGCAACTATTTGCAAACTAATATTGTATTATTGTCTTTTAGATAAGTACACAATAGAAAGATATCAAATAATTAGCTATAATTATATGTTAAAATACATAATATAAATATTGGAAACTTCAGATATAATTAATTGTTCTGTGATATTTGATTTGAGAGTTGATGATACACGAATATCAACCCAATATTTTACCTGTTCAAGGATATATCGAACGAATACTCCTATGAAAATAATTAATAGTAACTGGAACGACGCACATATAGATAGATCGATATTATATATAACGTATGACTACTTTATATGTTGTCGTTTGTTGTAAAATTCTAAACAGAAATATCACTTAAATGATACCCTCTCTGATAGTCGCAGGGCGCAGAGTTCCGTTAGGGTAAACACGTAAATGGATCACAACAGGATCTTTAATACAAATATTAAATGCCATACAACATGACACGTGATTGATATATTTGTTTATTTTGATCAATGGCGCTTGTAAATAGCTCCCATTAGCAATGCCTGTTTAAAACAAAGTATGTAATAAGTAACGGGGCAATATATTAAATTTGGTTTCTAAACATACATTTATACATTATTGAAACCAGTAGAATACTGAACAATATCATTATCACAGTTTTTGTTATTAATGATTCAACCTTAAGACATGTTATTTGAATTAATTCAAAGTTCTTTCCTATAGCACAGTGTTGCATTAATTGCCTGTTGGTTGTCGATTTGCTTAAATTGCAATTACAGATTATGTTGATAATTCAGTTTTTTAGAACAGAAAATGAAACAAACGTCACCATAGCGGCTATGAATGTTAACTACGTGCATCTTTCCCAGCAACCACAAAAACATGTTATATTTCACACAGTCAAACATGTACAATTCCCATTTTCACTTGCAATAAACATTGAGAATTTCTATATATTCCAAATTTCGTTTATATCTAACGTTTCATTCCATCCTGTTTACAAAGAGCGTTGGGGGACGAATATGTCTTCCCCTTCCCCTAATTGTCGGCCATAATAAGTTCTTTTCACGACAGCTAATTTGATTCTCCGACCATTCACAGTAGATCGGGTAATTTGAGCTTCGTGTCTTTAACTGATTTGAAGACGGGATATATTTTGCCGCGGCCATTGTTCCATTTAAAATAATTTCTCTCCGATGTGAGAGGCGGTGACGAGGGCGACGTTGTCACGCCACCATAGAGTCGTCGCACGCACGTCAACCACGCCGCCACGCGACACGACGCACACAAACATATTCTTTTCTAATTCCTGCATTTAAACATCCTAATTGAGTTAGCTGCCTTGAATCTAACTGTCTGACAGCAAACTGATGCTCTGTTCTGATAACACGATCCTCTAAAATGTCACGAGAAATAATGTGCCAGAAATTAACTTTACTCAACAACTCCATTAGTTAGTCGAACAAGGGCCTACTTTCCATACGAATATTATTATCGGAAATAGTGATGGGATGTCATTGAAAACATAATCGACAGTCGCGAAACATATACTGTCGTTCCATTTAAAATCTAAATTGTTTAAGCAACTGACCATTATTGTCAATAATAGACAGAAATCCGAGTCAGTACACAGAAATTATTATTTATATTTTTTCATATTTTTTCAATACACTACCAACAAACTGAAACAAAATACGCAATATTGATCATGTCATGCATCATATTAACACAATTTCCTATCAAATAAAGTACATGTTTTGAAATTAATTTTGTTTCATTCATTCGGTTGTTTGAGGTGTGAAATGATCTTAGATTAATATTTTGACCTCGGAAAAAATAATACAATCCTATCGAATAAATTATAACATTTAAATCTTTTTATTTATTGGAAAGGGGTATTATTGCATATGATGGTTGATCTACGACTCAGTGGTACGGCTTTGCGCTGACTGTGGTCCTCCCAATCGTGTCCCGCCATGAGCTATTAGGCCCGTGTGTGAGAACTGTCTATTGATCCAGCTATCAACGCATTATATCTCTGTTTGGCCAGTTAAACCTCGTTCATTCACACTTTACGAATTCAATAAGCATGTTATGAACTATTTATATCATGCCACCGATGATATTGCAAAAATTTGACAAAAGTAATAATAGAAAAAATAGATAATAATGTGATAATAACAAAAACGGCCTTTAGCATGTTCCGTGTTTCCAGAGATTGCGTACGTCTCTGGGTGTAAGGAATTTATGTGACGCATTTTCAAAATATATAGTTGGTACCAAATTCATTATTCGCATCACAAAGGCTTTACTTCCTAAAGACTTTTGATATTTTTATATGCTTTACTGTACTGTACTGTACTGTACTGTGAATGTTCGTTTTATTCCTAACGGAATATACATGTTACTAATATGCCATAAAACATTTAATAGTTCTGTATGTATAATTGATCCAGATGAACTTCGCTCATGTAATTATTCTCCTTTTGTAATGTTTGTAATGTGATCAGGTGAATTACGTCACAGATATCCAATATTTTCCAGAGTAAACAATACCAGCAGACTATATATTTGGAATCCGAATAAAGTTTCATTTTATGAAGAAATTGAAATTGACATTAATATTATAACCATTATTATTATATTATCTTTTTTAATTATATTTACCATTGTTTTGGTTTCGGTGTTTCGTGCTTTATTGTTTTTGATGCAAGGAATAAGAAAAGAAGAGTTTTGATACTATTGTGGACATAATGTTACGAGGTTTACGAGAAATATGAACAATAAAGCAAGCAGATATAGCATGCGCAGTAAAACATCGATTTTTCATCGAAACAAATCAATAACCAATCAATGTATCTCTCCACATGATCACTTATGTTTCAGTGAAGAATTATGAGGTCACAATAACATAAATGTTTGAAAGACGTTTTCGAGGTGTTAAGAGTAAGTCAGGTCTTCTGACGACAAAGACAATTTCGAGGCATTTATTAAGCTTTATCCTTGGTTTGCTAGGTGCATTTAACTTGAACGTTAATATCCTTGCTATTGGCTGATATGGGACATTGTATTTCGTTATAATGGAAGACCCTTACAATGTGTTTGACATGGGTGGACCATAGGCCGCGAGGCTGAGAACAATGCCAGGCATAAGTACACATATTTGTTGTAAAGTTATTGGCAACGTGAAGATACTAAGAACCTTCATATCGTTAACTTTCCACACAACCTGGCAATAATGCCGGTGTTTGTAGCTATTGTCAACAACACAATGTGTTAAACCGCTCCAACACAAGGCGTATCGCAAACACATCATTGCCCCTATCTTCACTTACTAACTGCCAAGAATTCATTTCAAGTTTCTCCATGGGCCTCTCGTTTAACAATCTGACAAATTCGGCTTTAATTCAACATTTTTTTCTGATGTAATAATGGGCGAATCACATTTTCATCATTTTCAGAATAACAGGCAACCTCCCTGTGTTTTGATTTTTGTTGTTCAAAGAAATACTCCCTTGTCTTCTCTTCTAACGCCCTCATCCTTCTGAACAAATTCTACCACTCCCTTATACCCACCTAATTTGTGCAAAAGCCCAAACCAAACCCTCTGTGGTTCAACACTAACTAGGATGGCTGCCTTCCAAGCATACGGCCCGCATCTTGAGATAATTTTACACTGAAATTATCAATTATGATCGGATGGCCATATGAAGGTATTTAGTCATACAAGCACGTTTGTGCTATTGGGGGTTTAGTAAACACAATTAAACTGGGCGTGTCGGACCCCCGTCTGCTTGTGAGAGCGCACATACAAAGACAGCGCCCAGTCTAGTCTAGCTCCGTGCAGCGTCTATATATATATATCATTCCTCGTCGGACACAGTAATATAAGATGTGCGCTTAATGCATCTCAAGGACGCTGATGGACTGTATATACCACGAGTAGGCATTGACAACCGTTAACGCGAAACATCCTACTTCTTTCTATTTCATACTCATCGCTGACATTTTATTGGAACAGGATCAAATGAAATTTATGAAAAAGGCGGAAATTAGTTTTCCGTGGATATCTCTGCTAGAGTATTAACAAAATCTTTCTCTAGTGTAAGTGTCAGAAATCTTCTGTTCATTTGTTAATAGGAATAAGACGAGACACTGGTCTTATAATTACCAATTTCGTTGTTCCCTTTTCCTAGAATAGATGACAAACACTTTCATGCACTGGTGAATTTATTAGGAATTGGGTTTTATAGCATGAAACATCTTACCAATATGCAGTATTAAAAGCAAGACGTCCGTCGCTATAGCTGATAATCACATTAGAAGCTACCGTTGGTTTCTCTGAACGCTCGTTACGTGAAGTGTAGCTGAACTCAGAAAAAGGGTTCATTTCAAGGAATAGAAAACAATTCATGTTTAGTTATAGCCGAGTCAGAATTCAATTATAAAGGTAGTTTAAACCGTACGACAGAGACACATGTAATTATTAATGAGATATTTACCTGTCCATAAAATATTTAGGTATCCTTGCGAGTTATAAAATCAATGTTATCCTCACAAAATAAACACATCCATTTATACTCATGCTCTAATGTCTCAATACATTTGTACCCAGGCTCTGATCTCTCCATACAATGTATGTTAACATTCATGCTATAATCTCTCCATACATATATACTCATGCTCTCTACCCACCATACATATATACTCATGCTCTCTACCCACCATACATATATACTCATGCTCTCTACCCACCATACATATATACTCATTCTCTCTACCCACCATACATATATACTCATTCGCTCTACCCACCATACATATATACTCATTCTCTCTACCCACCATACATATATACTCATTCTCCCTATTCTCCATACATGTATACCCATTTCTTTACCCTCTCTATAAATATACTCATGCTATCTACTCTCCATGCAAATATACCCATTCTCTCTACCCTCCATACATATATACTCATGCTCTCTCCTCCATACATATATACTCATGCTCTTTCCCCTCCATACATATATACTCATGCTCTCTCCACTCCTCCATACATATATACTCATGCTGTCTCCCCTCTATACATAAATACTCATGATCTCTCCACTCCTCCATACATATATATATATATATATATATATATATATATATATATATATATATATATATATATATATGCTCTCTCCATTCCTCCATACATATATACTCATGCTCTCTCCACTCCTCCATACATATATATATTTATGCTCTCTCCATTCCTCCATACATATATACTCATGCTCTCTCCACTCCTCCATACATATATACTCATGTTCTCTCTCTTCTATACATTTATATATATGCTCTCTCCACTCCTCCACACGTATATACTCATGCTCTCTCTCCTCTATACATTTATATTTATGCTCTCTCCACTCCTCCACACGTATATACTCATGCTCTCTATCCTCTATTTTCCAGGCAGCGGTCAGATCCAGCTGTGGCAGTTCCTGTTGGAGTTGTTGTCGGACAGCCAGAACGCCGCCTGCATCACGTGGGAGGGGACAAACGGGGAGTTCAAACTCGTGGACCCGGATGAAGTCGCCAGACGCTGGGGGGAGAGGAAAAGCAAGCCCAACATGAACTACGACAAACTGAGCCGTGCACTGCGGTACTACTACGACAAGAACATCATGACGAAGGTTCACGGCAAGAGATACGCCTACAAGTTTGACTTTGCCGGTTTGGCTCAGGCCATGCAGCCTGCCAGTGCGGACCCTACCTCCTACAAGTACCAACAGGACTTCTTTATGTCATCTTATCACAACCCTAAATTAAACTTCATGAACGCGCATGCGCCGATGCCTAATTCTTCGTCCAGTTTCTTTGCCTCTCCGTCAAGTTACTGGTCTTCCGGAGCCGGCGCCAACTTGTATCACAATATCCCAAACCACGCCATGTCCCACCATCCGTCACACATGCCGTCGCACTTAGGGACATACTATTCATGATCGGCCCCAGTAAATTAACGTCATCCCTTAATTAAAATGTTGGAACGCGAGTGTCGGGTCGTTTTCCCAAGAGCCAAGCCGTCCAGCACTGGAGTAAGACGAATCTAGACTTTCAGGGAGCTAAATCGACCCGTGCTTATCGGTAAAACAAATTGAATCATCGGGGTCGTGGTAATTAATGGAAGGAAATGTTAGAGAGGGTGCGACAGATTAAACTCCCCTCAATCGATACCTGATTTTCGGGCCTCTTCTTTTAAAGAGTTCCCGAACTGATATGTATCAGCAACAGCGGAAGACGCAGACAAGAAAAATATTCTGCAATTAATTTTGTTCTCCCCTGATATACTTCAAGTCAGAGTCGCTATCTCGACGGCTGGAAAATTGGATTTCCTATCCGGCTAGTGACGCGACGTGTAGAAACATGGCATCCTCAGCATTATCGCTTTCTTAAGTGCCTTGCAGCCCATCTTTGTGGGGATAGTCCATTTGTGGAGAAATAAATATCCTCGATGGAGGAAGATTGATTGCAGTTGGAGGCAGAGGAGTGAGTCTCAAGATGACATCAATGCTGCTGGTTGCACACAGGAAAGGGGCCATTCATCTCTGCTCACCCAGGCACCTTACAGCGACCTAGGCCATGGGGGACACCAACAAACTTGGACAAACAAATTAGGCCAGTTTTTTTGCAGTGAGTGATGATATCGGGTTAAGGTGTGACGGTTCCTGGAATATTGTCTGTGGGCATATCTCCGGCAGCATCTTCTCCGATCCCACAAGTTGAATTGTGGACCTGTGACTGATATTATGGTACATTATAACACCTGGTGTCATGTGCTACTTGACGTTGTGTCGGACGCTGTAGTCCGAACATGACCGTTGTTATTGAACTCGTGCTATGTGACGTATTTATTGATCTTGTGATGTCTCGGGGGTTGTTAATGCTACCTCTGAATGCTTGTACATAACAGAAAATAAAAACTGTACATATATTGAATTAAGCTTATCGTTTCTTGATTGTGGAATTTTTGTCTTTGCATGTGATTGTGACGGATGTCACCAGTGGGGCAGGATACGCTCACTTTTCGGTATCATTTCTGATTGAGAGAGTTTCATCAACACATGCTTATGATATATTCGGAATCGTACACCGGACTCTGCATTTAGCAGAGATTTCTTACCATTATGGGAAAAGGTTTTGTCGTAAATATTTGCATGTCAACACCATGAACAGTTTTTAAGATCCAGTAGAGCTGGGTGGTGCGTGCTTCTGGTAGGGCAGGGCATGGTTACCCTTTTCGCGAACACCTTGTGTCATCATTGATTTTCATATCCGTCAGCATCATGTATCACCGCTATTTTGGATTTTACGACATTGGAATCAGTTTCGGTAGACAGTTGAGACCAGTTATTGTCTGGCGTTGACGTTTTAGCCAATATTATAACACTGCTCGCTGTGTGTACTGGGTGTTTATATCCAATATCTACGACCTGGTGCTTTCTATGGGACCATATTACCGTTGCCAGTAAACAAGATATATGGGGTTTAAACAGAATTATTTCGTGAAATCGAAATGCATGACATACCTGTTCGTGTAAATAGGTTAATATAACACTACTTCAATAATATGATCTAACAATGCAGTCTTTGTATTGTAAGATAGGCACATGCCTACTTGAACAATAAACTGTTATTGTTTAATCAAACCTGCCAGATTATGACGTGTATTGACACTTCGATCGAATCATTCTAAGTTTTCATTTACCGATTTCATATATTTTATTTAAATCATGTAACTTATTTAATCACTTACTGGCATTTTTCACAGCATAACACTAATACTTGACTAATATATGTGATTTGTATTGTACCAAATATGATAACATATACATTGACTTCAAATGTTACTTTCTTTACATCATCTGAACATATAACTAAATATTTATATAAAACAACCGTCACATTTATTCTTTCTGAGCGTTACAAGTTTACCCTTTTCGTGAACACCTGGTGTCATATAGGATTTTTAGGTTTAAATTCATATAATATTCACAGCTATTTTGCCTTTTACGCACAATCGAATCCGTTTCTGTGGATAATCAAGACTGGTTATTCTCTGGCGATGACGTTTTATGGTCTTGTTCAAAGTTAATAAGATAATGCTTTTGTTTTAATCACCGAATTACTACACATTGAAATTTGAATGATCAATGTATTTTGGTGGATTAAATTGCTGTTTCATTAAGACCTTTTCTATATTTGCTCATGTACTATGCGACAGTACTCAAAACTGATTGGACTGATATAGTAACATGTCATTGTATTGTAGACAGTATGCATATTCTAAAAATACGTAATGACGCCATCAATATTTCATGACGTCACCTCAGTACACTAATAAAAATGATATTCACTACATTTTTATATATAATTTACTTTATGTGTATTTTCTATGGAATTAACACCAATCAAGCATCAACGCATATAAGTATAATCGTAATATCGTAAACATAAAAGAATGTCTATATGCCAGTTACGTTTAGATATGAAAAATAAATAAATGAAAACGTATCGGTTTTTATTATGATACGATTATTGTACACATATTAAAAAGCCTTTGAAGAAAATAATTATAAAAATGATCATAAACGGGTTTTTTAAACACGAACCGAACATCCCCGTTCATTTCTGTGTGGTTTCCAGGTGACATTTAATAGAGATAAATGAATGATACGTAGCGGTTGATTAAAAATGACTACGTCACACTGAGTATTTGTTTCGTTTTAAAACAAGCGGAAATAATATAGAACCGGTTATTTAGAATTTTACAAACCTAATTCAACAAATACTTGCTTCATTTGTTTCGAGAAGGCCTCATGCAAAGTTTGAATTAGACAATATGAATGTTATTAATACAGATAATATAATTTCACCCCCATCGCCACGGGAAAAATCGTAAACGTCAGCATTTAGGTCTTATTTCGAATAAATTCTTCTCTGTGTTGTTTAAAGAAATAAGGATGTCATTTTCAACTTGAGTGAACTCTGTGATTCGGAGAATACAAACAGTAATGGGATTATGGCTAATTAGCTTCTGATACGACTTCATTACGCGGACCTCGGAGAAAACAAGACTCACGCGGACGTCAAAGAAAACAATGATGAAAACGAGGCTCTGAGTCAGAGAGCTATCTGAGCTGTCATCACTAACTCGAGAAAGTAAACCCAATTCGCTGGGACCCGCGTCCTTGCAATATAGCACGTGCACAGGCATTAAGAGATGATCTGGTGTGATTGGTAATTAAAAGCATGCTTTGTGTTACCCAAGCTTGTCAAAACATTAACTTCAATTTTATTCAAACAATGACGATGTGATGTTCGAAAGGTCAAAGATCTAGACCACGAGCTTGGATTTTATGCTTGAATTTAGATTTGGATAATGCAGTGCTCATTAAACATTGAACAATATTTTTAATCGTTTCCCTTATTCAATTTGTATTTCTGGTAATTAACTTTTGTTTTCGGGAAATGATCACGACGCGGTGTTGGTTTGAAAATTATGCTTTCAGTTAAAAACAGTTTCAAATGTAATTAGGTATGTACACAAGTTTCTTTCCAATTAAGAATAAACATACGTTTTACACAAATTACGGTAATACTTTTTTTTACAGTTTGGTCAGAGCAGAAAGTTCGTGTTGAATAGGTTTAAGCTCAGATAAGTCATGCTCAAGAAATAATTTCACCAATTTTCTGAGTCATGAAGGTCAGTCACCATCACACATACAATGTTACAACTCCCCTAACACCTGGTGTTCTAAACTACACACTAACTGTATGTAACATTACAGTCACACAGTATGTTACCGTCTGGACAGATTCTATTAGATTTGTGTTTGTTTGTTGTTTAACGACACACTCAGCAATATTCCTGCTAAATGACGGCGGTCCGTAAATAATCGAGTCTGGACCAGACAATCCAGTGACTTACATCATGAGGAAAATCTGACCACCCTAACCCATTAGTCTCCTTTTTCGACAAACATAGTCGCCTTTTACGGCAAACATGGGTCACTGAAAACTGACCACCCTATCCAAACATGGGTTACTGAAAACTGACCACCCTATCCAAACATGGGTTACTGAAAACTGACCACCCTATCCAAACATGGGTTACTGAAAACTGACCACCCTATCCAAACATGGGTTACTGAAAACTGACCACCCTATCCAAACATGGGTTACTGAAAACTGACCACCCTCTCCATTAGTCTCCTTTTTCGACAAACATAGTCGCCTTTTACGGCAAACATTGGTTACTGAAAACCTATTCTAACTCGGTTCTTAATGGATAGATTCTATTATTGCATAACTGCGACATAACATTCGATTTCCGAAAAAGTTTTGGTGAACGCCGACGTATGCCCTGCATAAATAGATGATATTTATGTTGTTATGTTCTCTCAGAAGATGAATGAGAAATGCTTATGTTATCATCTGCGAGCCAGGAATGTTGTTTATTTTTCTCATTCCCGAGATAGATATATGTTGTAAGACCTTTCGAATCTTCCATTTTTGTATATTGTAATAATATTGGGCGGTAGATATAGTAGACTTACCTGTCACTCAACTTTGACGTTGATGTCAATGCTACACATGACGCCATTTCTGGTCTGGACGTGACAATATCGGTTTCCCACCTCTCATCAGTCATAAGGACATAATTTCTCTGTTAATCTTGGCTAGTTTATCGAGGTACCTATTTCTCTGATCTATTGATATCACTACACATACATTAGAAGCAGTTGTAAAGCAGTAAAGCGTACACTAAGTACATTTCGTCATAAAATAAAGTGTATTGTCCAAAGCAAAATGGTCATGCAAGTTTAAACGAAGGTAATAAAAGCGACAAAACCCCTTTATATTCATTAGAAATCTCTGCCAAAAACAGAGTCGATTGTACGTTTCTGTCCATATAAAGATTCCAGATGTTCGCGAAAAGGTGAGCATATCCTACCCCACCCGTGGCACCCGTCACCGTAAATCCGTTTGCATATCATAAGAAATCTCTCCTCAAAGCACAGTCCATAGTACGATTCCGACGACATCATGAGTGTTTGTGAATCACTATCAAACAGTGTTGATACAAGGATAAGCTAACGTATAGATGAGATAACAAAACATATCCATTGAAGCGTTGAGACAAAAGCCTTGTGCTTTGCTGAACGGAACCATAGGGAAACTCGCTATTCCACATCCATTATCATTATAATTATTATTGTTATTGTGCATATTTTTATAATTATTGTTGAGGTTAGTATTTTCAGCATTATTGGTTTCATTGAACACAAATTTTATTATTAATATTAGGACCATAGTTATTACATTTTATTTGCGATATATGAACAAAAAAAGAGCTGAATAATAACGGCTGATGGGGCATCAAAGAACATCAACATAGTTGCAGTTTAGCAGATTATCTTCTTTTCGTTATATTCCTGTTACTTACATGTCCAATATGATACTACAGCGTCATATCAACCATCATGCAATTATCAGAATAATATTAATAAATACATGATATCGATGTGCACTTCAAGTTGGTCCATCTATATACACAAAGTAAAAGAGACAAAACCATGTTCATTATCATAAGAACTCTCTACTAAAAGCAGAGTTCGTTGTACGATTCCTACTATCATAAGAATGTGTTTATGAATCGCTACTAAATAGTACTGATACCAGGTGTCAACTTTGTGAAAAAGACTTTTACAAGCATAAAGAATTCTCACTAAATGTTTCAGATAAAATCATCTAAAATCCACGAAATAGAATAAAATACTTCTACCACAAGATTTTTGATAGAATCAATAAAACCGCATTCGAATTAATATTATGCGTCTGGTAATTTTATACACATGGAAATGATAGTATCGACATTCTGACAAATTATATTCTGAAGATGGTCATATTTGTAATACCTCGTTACTGAGGTATTGGAGGTTCCTGTTGCCGACTGCTCACTCAGTGCCTAATGCCAGTATAACATGGCCCAGGGATTACATAGTACCTCACTAGTTATATCTCCCATCAGTAGAGTGACAGTGTGTATTTATATACGAGTCTGTGTGTGCCTGCTCATCTGGGTCTATTGAACCCGGCGTCAAGTTAAATACCGGGCCCTCTCCTCCGCTCAATGATGCCTCAGTCACAAATTCATTGCCTTTCTAACGCTGTGTCAGTGAGCAGAAATGATTGATAGCCAGTCGTAATTTTGCCCAATATGAGAACGACTCTAACTGAGAAATTTCGCTGTCGGACATTTTCTTCGCGCCTAGATAACCGCTTTATGAGCCTCTTAATCAAAGATTATCACAATTTCACTCGGTCGCTTCGGTGAGGAAACTAGCTTAATTACTGCTAGCTGCACAATAGACGACTAATATCAGAGGCGCAGTGGGACTTGCGATGTTTGCGCGGCCGGCCTCTCGTCCCGTGGGGGGAGGGTAATTACTTTTACCCTTAAATTAATGAAAACGCCTAATACGCCATTATATAAAATATGGATTTGGGTAATTGTCGCGGCGATTTAACATATTGAATCTGTCTTTGTTACATTGCGACTGAAACCTTGTGACAACATTAAGGCGAGCGATTATTAGCATGTTATCACCCAGAACGAAAACAGATACCGTATAAATGTTGATCGTTTGTTGAATGAAGCGCGATGGCATTGTCACGTAGCGTTCAGGCAGAAAGTATCGCGGGTGATGATGCAGTTGCTACAGTTAGTTATAGAACCGCCATTGTCGGCAAAATTGCCCATACATTTCCACTCCAAATAAAACCAAAACATTTCTCCTTTATTACGCAATACAATCGAGAATTACTCAATTTACATTGTATAGATCTCAAATAATACTCCGCAGTGGCTCCACAAAGGGAGTCAGTGTATAAACAGCGAACAGGTGATAGTACAATAGGACATATTAGTCTCATTTCAAAGCTAATTCGTATTTTAAGAAAAACGACTGTGACTCTTACCATTTAAATTGTCAATGAAGTGAGGTAGCCGGAAATTTTAGGGTTTGATTTGGGCGATGGACGTATCAAACAATAGAAGCATCTGGATCGTATTATCCAACGATATCGTCTGCTCACCTGTTGAATCGCAGAGCGTACCACATCTTTGTAAATTTCGGATTTTGGTCAAGAAAAAGCTGTTGGTAATTGACACTAAATGATTTCAATTTCATGCCTTCCCGATGAATATTTATTCCTTAAAGGAAGGCTGTAACACTCATGAATTTTAATGACCTCTTAGTTCCCCTAGACAATCGTATCATGAACACTGAATATAAATCACGTCCGTGTTAAGTTTGTGATGTCATGCCTATAATCCACCTATTGAATGTTAGCATTTTGGAACAGCTATTTGACTAATTCATAAATAATTTGATGAAACCTCTATGAGCAAATGAACCCTGATTTACAAAAAGGTTTACATGGTCAGTCCAATTAGCTTTTGAGACATATGTATCCTTATCATACCGATATTTATGTTATTTATACCACATTTTTGTCTTGCTTGTTGTATAAAGCCCGGCTCAGCAATATTCCAGCTGTATGGCGGCGGCCTTCGAATAATCGATTCTCGACCAGACAATCAAGTAATTAATATGATGAGCAACGATCCTTGATGTACGATGACGCGCAATGAACCAAGTTATAAAAAACCAAACACATTCAATTAATATTATACGTAATTATTCTGACCCGGAATCTCTACGGGGTCTACACATTATCTTCATATAGCCTTTAATAACTAAATGTTAGTTTGATAAAGTTTATATCATGAAGTCAATGTGAAGTGTTGGTTAATAGTGTATGTAGTTATTGCCAAGGAAGTACATGTAGAAGGCATGGTTGTGTTAAAGCGACATGGGCAGACACATTGCCTGAATTGTTGTGGCAAGAAGTCCCTGTTGTTGGAAGGTGATATATGAGCATCTGACACAGAAAACGGAAGTACAATCCAGCATCTGAAATGAAGTTAAGGCTTATCAAAACCATTAATCAGATTACCCACATTGTAATCAGAGGATCTGACATCTCTGATGAACAGGACCTTGTTTCTTGTACTCTTCAAAACACTCTTTACCTTGTGTATCAACGTCATAAGGGCAGTTAGGGTAGCCTAGTTAATAAAGCGTTTACTCGTCACCACCAAAGTACGGGTTCTATTCCCCAGATCGGTATAATGTGAAGCCAATTTACTATGAGCGTAAAACCATACTAACCCGGTCACGCAACGTCATGATGAAAAGAGGTCTCTCTGACTTATAATCAATGTTTTCATTGCAGTTGTCAATTATATTTACATATATGTAAACACAATATATACACCTCTGTATACAACTTCTACAAAAAGATTGATAAACCCTTAATGACAAAAGGATATTCATAGTTATTTCTATTTCAAAATAATTAAGATAATCTGAATGAAATTAAAGTTGCTTCATTTTCATGTAATCACAGCAAACGTAAGTTAACATTTATGCATACAATGCAAAAGAGTTACATATGGTTCCAGCGACTATGCTTGTCGTCAGAGGCGACCTGATCAGGTGGTCAGGCTCGCTGACTTGGTTGATGCATGTCATCGTGTCCCAATTGCGTGGATCGATGCTCAGGATGTCAATCACTGGATTGTCTGGTCCAGACCCGATTATTTACAGGCCGCCGTCATATAGCTGGACTATTGCTGAGTGTGGCGTTAAACAACAAATAAACAAACATATGGTTCCATCATACTTTTAAGTTACCCATGCCGTTTATGGCTGGTTTAATATCGCTTCTGATGTTTGAAAAAGTATTTATCTCCTGATAAAGGCCTATGTGAGATAATGATATAAAATCATGAGAGATTTGTTTGTTGTGTCACGTTATAGTCAGCAATATTTCAGCTACATGACGACGGTCTGTAAATGATCGAGTCTGGACCAACCGATCCAGTGATTCATATAGTGAGCAACGACCCACACCGATCTCATTTGTCTGAATAAAACAATATGTCGTGTATCGGGAGTCCTTCAACGACATATTTCAGTCAGTCTCTCGCCCATATGCATATAGTATACAATGTGAACAACCACGCCATTAGAAATCTATGCTAAAAGCCGAGTCTATTGTACGATTCCGACTCCGTCATGAGCATGTGTTTATGAATTAGTATCATGACACCAGGTGTTCACGAAAAAAGGTGAGAGTATCCTGCCCTATCGGTGGCAGCCGTCACTAACACATGCAAAGGAAAGTAAATTTTTCACCTGCAAAAACACTGGAATATATGGTACACATCAAAATAGGTCACTTTGATCAATGATGCGCCAAGTTTGGAAATGTCCTCCACATGTCTGCCATGAAACTTTTGGAATGCTTTATTAAGGCCTTGGGTGATGTAACCTTGATCAAACCTTTGAGCAAAAGTCATATGACGCTCTTTAAAATCTTCGTAGAAAGAGTCTACTTGATTATATATTTAGACACCAAACGCAGGAGCTACTGGAATATTGCTCGCCATAAATGGAAAGTTGACTATTGGAAAGTTATACCTCTTGTCATAGTCTTGTGAAAGTTTGTGTCACTCCGAATCTGTATGCACAGATAAAATATGAAACAGATGAGGCGGTTTCACTGGTCTCCTTTATTTCTAAAGTTATACTCCTAGAAATCACTCCAATTCATTTACCTATCAAACAGGTTACATCTGTTTACTGTAAACCGATAAGTGTTTAGTGGACAACAACATTTATATGTTGTAGTAATTCTATAAGGCGAACATATTCAAATCGCCTCCATGTGTTACTCATATATATAATGTTATTATATTTTCTATGGAAATACAATACCCGAAAGCCCTTTAAGTGTAAATCTGGCTTTATCATACATGTACTTCCAGTGTGAAATACATTCTCTTACTTAATGACCTATTAAACTGAACCTACCTATAACTGGAAGCATGTTCACCTGCAATCTCAAAGCTTCTTTTGAATATATTTTGTACTTTTCAGTACTCCTTTCTTTCTTTTGTTTGCTGTTTTAACGCAGAACTTAGCAATATTCCAGCTTATGTATATGGCGGCGGATTGTAAATAATCAAGCCTAGAAGAGACAATCTGATGACTGATCTTGTGAGCGTCGATCCACTGGGTCCGAGGACACGCCAGTCACCGAGCCTGCTGACCGATCCACCAGGTCGCCACCTACTATCAACATAGGAAACTGGATCTAAAGAGATATTAAATGTGACATATATGTAGTCCACACTGAATAAGTGTGTTGCGTATTAGGTTTAAATACACTGATATTTTGATGAAGACGTGAAACGTTTATGGATGACTCTTTATTGTTGTTTATGAAAAATGTTCCATGTCTCAACGTTTTTTCCAAACTCTAAATGATATCAAATACTAAATATCATGATGGTATGTACTACAAACCTTATGCTATTACATGGACACTAGACAAAACCTAATTTCAACCGACATTTATGGAAGTTGGCTCGCAAATATGTATATACTGAAACATGATTTTTGCTTCCTTGACAACCCTAATGCGGGCTTCGCAAGACCATTACTCACGAAGAAAAGCTACTAATTCAGTCATTTGTAATTGGAACGCCAAAACAGTTCGCTCGTCATGTTGTCATTTGCCTAAACCTCAACATTAAAGACAACTTTGTCTTAAGACTAATGGGCCCTTCTTGTCACGTGATGCCAGACAGCTTGATTGTTCTACTTCGCAGAGAACCGGAAGTAGCGGAAGTGACGGTCTCAGGTCCCGGGGCTAGACGGATCCCAGTCTTTGTCTCTGGCACAGCCTTTGTAGAGTCGGGGTAATTCGCATGGCGAATTAAGACTTCTTAGCTTTTAAATCTTTGTTGCAGAATGACAAAACGTACATTATATGGAAGGAATCGATGAATTAGATGCACAAAGATTGGTGTTAGAAATGAATTTCAAGTTCCCTTTTTCAGACCCCTACAAAGAAGTCTTGATGTAATTCATCTCTCAATCTACTGATAGGAAAAGGAAATAAGACCATACGGATAAAAAACTTATGTTTATCAAAAACATTTTTGCAATGTAACATATTCTCGAAGTTATATGTTTGAATAAGAATCTACATCAAAATACAAGCGTGTGTGACGAATGAAGAATTTGACAAAGAATATTTGTGAGAAAAAAACGAATAAGAAGCAGTTCAGAGCTGAATAATCACACAAGTGTTGCTCCATTTCAAAAGCTGCTCCAAGAGCTAAGCAAATCGCATTGTGATCACATTTTATTGCACATGTACTTCAACGTGTGTTTGAGTGTGCGCATTAGTTCAACTACCTTTCTACTTTCTCAAGCAGTATGACAATACTTGAGCTTAACATCACCGTTCGGTCGATATATTCTTTGCCCTCTCATTGTGTCTTTGACATACTCAGTGTAGCATTTCTCCTGAGAACAGTGTAACAACGGCATTCATGCGTTCGGTTTTACAGACACACAAGAAGTTCAACATGACCTGTTCGTTGCTTCTTAAGGTAAAACGACAGTATTGCGCTCTTCAATAACCGAGCCGTTTTCAACATGTTGACGTGTCTTCTGTCAAGCACAACATGTTCATAACGAATCAGACGGCTTATGACTTCTTCTGTTATGGATAATTTCGTTTTGTATTTTTAGGAATTCAAAACTCGTGCGTTCTTTGGAGACCTTCACAGGTAAGATAAGG